TAACTATTATTATTATTTTTTAATTCTATCCAAGATAACATTTGAAAGTGCCAACGGGGTTATTTGTGTTAGTCAGTAATATTTAAGTCTTCAACAAGCATCGAAAAAACATTGTGTTATTAAATTTTTCTGGTTCATATGACATTCAAATGGCAGTATTTTAATTTACATATCCTCTAGTTCAGAAGTAATCATACTAATATCAATTGTATCAAAAAAAACATTGTATAAATTGTTCTGAATTCTTATTAGATCGATTTTTTTTAGTAGTACAAATTAAAAAATATGTTAGCTCGAAAGACTATAAATAAACCTGTCAATTAATTAGTTTTGACATTTGTATCAACCTTAATTAAATATTTAATGTTTTTACTCAAGGATAACATACCGCAATAAAAAAAAAAAACATTGAAAATGTTTAATAACTCGTTTAAAAAATAAAATAATTTCTTACTATTTTAATTGAGGTTTCTTATTTTAAAATAACATAAAAAAAAATTATGACTGGATGTTTTTCATAAATAGATTTTAATTTTTAATCGCGGTCAAACAGTAGGGAAATGCAATCTTGTATTGCTATTTTAGTAGTATTAATTTGAGTTGTTCGATGCAAAAACAATAATCAACGTGATCATTTATGGCGAAACATCTAAACGTATTTTAAACTTTTATGCACATACTATTAGATCAAATATTATATTATATGCGCATAACACCATTTTACTTGCCCGTGGTGTATTAAGGATCTAATTTATGCGAACCAGAATGTTGGCGCCTCTGTGATTTGATTTACGACTAATATTTTATTTAAGGGCGACCTGATAGCATTTTAGAAACGTGGGCGAACAACTTCTGAGGTGTACCTACATCATAATATCCACCACCGTCATTTAAATCACGTGGCTCTTTTCCTTTTATTATTATTTTTGCTCTTTAAACTGCCAGACACTCGAGGCCGTTATTTTTTAAATTATCAAAATTTACAAACCTTGATCAAATCTCGATATGGCAACCTATATCATATTATGCATCTGTAGTAGCATGTGTATTGTAACGAAACGCCAAACGATAATTCAATGTAATTTATTTGTTATTATTACTCGTGTGCCGTCATCGCTTTAAAATAGATTGGAATGAAATGGAAGAACAATTGTTCAATGCAATTTTGTGCAAAAGTATTTCGTAAGATATAAATCTATGTCTTGAGTGGACTATGTAAAATGATATCTTAATCTAGCAAAGTAAAGTAAACTCAAAGAGTATTTCATTGTTTTCCACTTCAAATTACTTATCAAACAAAATATTTCATCAAATTCAGTTAAATTAATTAACCACACGAAATTAAATTAAGCTTACAAATAGAAAATCATAAAGTATTTTTTCCTAAACAATCAACATTAATGTACAAATTAAATACAGACAATATTTATGTGTAGCATGTCATGCAAGTACATTTAGTTGCATAACCAACATTTTTTTTCAATATTATGTAACACAACACACGTGTTATGCTTCTAAGTGTAACAGCTAAAATTACTGTCTATATAAAATTTAGAGTGTATCGTAGGTGTTTAAATAATGACACTTTTTAAATCATTCAGTTCATAATTATTTATTTACATTTAATATTAATACTGATACTTACAATCACACTGTTTATTTAACTCAATAAATTTATCATTAATGCTTGTAAAACTGTAACAAGCAAATAATTCAATTTTTAATTGAATATTTCTTTTTGCTAAAATTTATTAGATTCCTAATATTGGACAAAATTAGAAACCCAATGGTTGATAATGAAAATTAAGTTTTTCATCATTAACTCAATATAATTCTTTATGCTATAACAAACATCAATGATATCCATAGTTCATAATTACTGATATAAATTAATGTATGATGTCTGATATAAGGCAACACTATTTAAAAGATTAACATTTATTTGTTAAAAATGTATGAACAAAATGTAATTGGTCATTTGTAGCACGACCAATTATTCTATTATTGATTTTTTAGATACACTTGTTTATTACATTAGAAAATCTAGTTTTATTACTAATGAAACATTTGATATAAAATTAACAATAATATTGTGATGAAACCAGATTATTTTTTAATTTACATTATTATTTATTATTTAAATTCAAAACACTTATTAAAAAAGTTTTTATTGGATTAAAATTAAATACTATTTCATTGTTATGAAAAATTATGAAATAATACAAGAGTATATTATACTTGTAATTTTATTATTTATACTTTTGTAAAAATTGCAAGTAAAGGTTTTATTATTTTTAATAGTTAGGCTTTGGAGTGATATTAATTTCTACCACTCCTTCGATATACTTATACTATAATTTAAAACACGTACAATTTATTAAAATTATAACATCAATTTTTACCTCTAAAAAAGAAAAAATGCATGTCTATCCTTAGAAACAAATATATTTATAATTAAGAAACATGGCAATTTAACTAAGAAATTGTATTTGATTTATTTTTTTTATAATTAAAATAAATAAATAAAATAAACTGTGTTCTTTTTAGACCACACTTTCTTTTTTTAAGAATAAACAATAAATAAATATAAATTAAAAAATAAAACCATTCAAAATAATTTTTAAAGGCTTAGAACTTTTATGCTTAATTGATTTTATTATTAACATAATATTATTTTTCAATAAATAAATCTTCTCTTTGATAATTCTTTAACACGAAAAGTAAATACAAAATTTTTTTTACATATTAAATATTTATGTTTTTTAAGTATTTTATATTAATGAAATATACAATTAAATAATTATAAAAATATATTACTATCAATGTTGTACAATAGAGTATCTCAGTTATTTTAAATATTTATAGGAAATTGTTTCAAAATTATTTTGAAAGAACTGTACAACAATAAATAATTAAACAAAACAATTTCGCTATAATACATACAAATATTTGTTTTTTACCGAAATAAAATGATTTAGTTTAATAAACAATGAGATTAACTATGAAAGGTACATGTTGTTAAATTTAATTATTGGATCATTAAATAATTAAAATTTGCGTTATTTATAAATCTAAAGACATATTTTAACCTATCATATATTTACAATGTTTAACACAAATAATTTTATAAGTATACAATAGTAAAAGGTCACTTTTTATATAGACATAATTTCCTTTAAAAATAGTATATTAGATTCGATATATAAAATACCAATATTTATATGCGATAACAGTTTTTTAAAAATTGTTTGTGGATAATATCTGATTTTTTTCCATAAATTCATCGATATATCAGAGAAAAATATTCATCATATTTTAGTAACAATAACAAATTTGTAATGTTTAATCATAATTTAACTCACTAACTAGACGACCTGCTATTAATTTAAGTTAAATTGAAAATAACTTATATTATTTGTTTAAGTAACAATACATTTCTAATTATCACGAGTCCATCATAACATTTTTAGTAGAATATGAATTACATTCAAAAATTTTATGTATTCAACTAAAATATATCATGTAAAGTTTAAATAAATTTCAGATTATTTATATTTTCAAAGAACTATTAAATATTTTATATTAAACGTAAATAACTATCACATTAATAAACACTACTAGTTAATAAATCGTTGTAAGATAAATATTTTTTTAATTTAGCAACCTTCACATGAAGATTATGTGATCAAAAGTCACCTTTGTCACAATTCAATTATTATAATCAAACAGTACTTTTCTATATATCACACATCAAGATGAAAACTGTTATAACTTAAAAAAAAAAACATTTTTCAGAAATTTAAAAAAATATAATCAAGAACTCCCTTATATGTTTTTTTAACATTTTTTTTTTTTTTTTTGTGAGTTTAAATAGTTTTGAACTAGGTGACGATATAATGTACTGATAATATTTTAGTATTATATTAAATAAAATCGACTATTTAATTAATCATTTTATAACTAACGGACACGTTTAATAAATTACATAAGATTATTTTTCTAATTTTTATGAACAAAATATTTTTATGAAAATTAATTCGATTCCCAAAAGTTTTTAAAATTAGTTNATGAAAATTAATTCGATTCCCAAAAGTTTTTAAAATTAGTTGAAATTTGCTATCGAATATCTTTATTTGCGTCGTACTATTTTCATTGGATTGAATCTCAAATGTGATTTTTTAGATGTGTACAGACAACTTAAAAACGTCTCAAAGGATAAGTCGATGCCAACATTTCACATTGATAAAACAATTCCGGTCAAAGAATTTCGTTACTATTTTTGTAGTTAAATAAAATATTAAAAAAATATATATATATTATACTATTTCCGTTACCTAAATATATTTTATTAAGTTATTTTATATTATAACAACTATTTTTTTTTTATAAATTAACGATTTATATACATTAACGGTAACATTTTATAATAATAGTTTATATACACAAAATAATTACTGTATACTAAACAGACGATGATAAAGTAAATGCCCTAGCCATTGCGGTCGTTTTACAATGTAAAATCGATTAGACGAATGATTAGATAATTAAAATTAAAAACAACGTGTTTTATATTAGTGAAAAATGTCGGCTGCGCGCAATTAACTACACCCACACCTATCCACTATCATGCCTGGCAGCAGTCCGTAAATGATGTTCATGTTCTCGTCGTAGTAGAGCATTGAAATGGAGGACATTTTTCGAGGCGCACAACAAGGTCCTGTACCCGGATACATGTGTGTCTTGTTGGTGAGTTGCGTAAGATGCGTATGAGGGTACTTCTGAAGGAATTCCATGGGACACTCGCCGGAACAATAGTTGGCCACGTATTGCTTTGGCGCTATGATCCAGTCCCAACCGAAGTCGTCAAAGTCCACTGTCAACGGGTACCGACAGCAAAGCGACTCCTGTGAGCTCTCGTTGCAGTCTAAACCGAGCACGTTGCGCTTAGCGCGCGACCGCCGCCCTTCCTCCATGTACACCACCAGGTATGGGATCTACGCAAAATATACGATTTACACAATATTTTTGTTATTTAAGTATCGTGAGACGCACCACATGCACATCGCACTGGGGTGACGTTAACTGGGTACCAACCATCCGGTTACGCAGTGCGAATACCAACACCCTAGTACATTGAATTGTACGTTAAGTAGAAGGAATCATAATTAGTTTCGGATTATACACCTGTGTGTCGAGTCACACGGAGAATATATTATTTGCAATTTAATAGGAAATAAAATATGTAATTCGTTTTATTTACTAAATTGTTTAATGATTGTTATGTATACAGAGACATTAAATATATAAATAAATTCGTAAGCAAATTGACATATTTATTGCACTATTATTAATCAGTCGTTGTGCAATATTACTCTAATAATATTAAAAACTAACAATATAATATGTTCTAAGATCTACAAACTATGAAAATGATATATTACTATTTAACCGTAATGAATAAAGATACAGAGTTAATTACATGAATTTAATTTATTTTCACGCTAAACTTTATCGAGCAGAAACATTCCGAGTTTATACGTGTTCTTACACAATGGCATCTGAATGAATTGTAAAGGAAACACATCTTTGGAAAACATTTTTTCGCATTATTTTGTGACTGGTTTATACTTTTTTAAACATTAAACATATTTTATATACAGAAAATTAATTGAACTAAAATGTTGTTTTTACATCACAATCACATTTGATTTAATAAAATAATGAAACTATGCCAAATGTTTGTATTATCTATTTGATATCATTAAGCTAAATTCGAGGAAACGAAGCGTATACATTATTTAATATAAAATTAAAAAATATACTTAAAATTATTTAAGCTAAACATGCTGTTGTGAATTTGCATTAAAGTTTTAAATACTAGATGAGAAGTTAATATTTTTAGATAACGTTAATTACAATATCTCAAACCTGAGATATGTTTCACACATGTTAATTAAGTCTAATTTAATGTTACGATTTTTAATTTCTCAATTTTAAATTATCATTTTAAATAAAATCCGTATGAATAAGTGCTTAACTGCCAAGTAAACAAAAAATTAATAAATATGCAACATGGTAACAAAAAATTTCATCATTTTTACTTGGACGTCATATTATGGTACATTATTAATGAAAAAAAAAAAAACTATAGATTTTAATTTACAATTGTCATAACTCATACATTTTCCAGTTTGGTATTAACTTAAACTAATTTTAAAAAATGTAGTAAAAAATGAAATATACGATAGAAAATATTTACAGTAAAACACTGTGCAAATAAATAAAATATATACTTGTGGCACAATATATAATCGTAAAAAAATAAATCACGACATAAATATTTCGATTTTGTTATCTGTAGACATTTAAAAAAAAAGTCACATAATTACCAAAGTGTCATAAGTACGATACGTGTACGAGTATATTTGTTTGATTTACTTTGTACTCGAGTTAAGTACTATTATTACCGTTTTGAAAATGTGTGTACCTATTTTATGAATGATTTACAGTGCGTGACCGAACGTGCGTAATTAGCTGCAGCCACACCTGTCCACAACCATACCAGGCACCGTACCATAAACAATGTTAAGGTTACTGTCGTAGTAAATCATAGATATGGATGTCATTTTTCGTGGCGCACAACACGGCCCTACGTCGAACTTGGTCATTTGCACTAGATGCGTGTGCGGGTATTTCATGAACAGCATCGGGTCGCACGTACCGGAACAGTAGTTTGCCTCATACTTCGTGGGCGCCAGAATCCAATTCCAGCCAAACTCTTCAAAATCAACGGTTAGCGGGTACCGGCAACATCGAGTTTCCTCCACGGACGTCTCGTTGCAAATTAGCCCGTTGCCCGTGTTCCGTTTGGCTCGAGACAGCCTGTCGTCAAGGGTATGCACCTCCAAGTACGGGATCTAACAAGAGCATGGACCAATCGGATTAGAGAAGACACGCGATTGCCAAATACACTAAACGTGCGTGACTCGGTAACTACGGGAGTCAGCGACGTTTATCTATTTGGCCATTGGTTTTTATAATAATTATTACAACACGGTCGTTTGTCCCTACAGCTTTTACAACTTCCGGTCAAAATTATTTTACTGTCCTTACCTACGACAGCAAGTCGTGACTAAACTATTCGGGTGATACGTTAGAATTATTTCTGTTACGTGTACATGTGCTGCATTCGTGATTTTACGCCGCGAATACGTTTAGCGTTAAGATTAACGATTGAACTGACATGTCATCGGAGTGCTCACACATAAAAAACATAAAACATGTGTTACTGAGCAGGTATAATAAATAGTGTATTAAATCATGCGTTATCAAAAAAAATGCTAATAAATGTAGTACCAACTCATCGTTGTAGAACTAACACCCGTATCCAACTATGTGTTCGTTATAATTTAAATTAAAAAATTGCCCCTTACCACCACCATCACCACCACCAACACCACAATTTTTACGAGTTACGCCATCTTCTTTGTGTCACCGTCCCGCTCGTTGTCTGTTCTGCTACCCCTCGTTTTTCATTCAAACTAAGCAATTAAGCGTACTAACCTTCTACTCGTACCGTCAAACAAAAAGATTATTATCGCACTCCCTAACAACGAGGACCAGTGTTCTGTACATTTTTTCCCGAAATTTACAATACACAAAGTAACAAAACTCTACGTACCTCAGTCATGTCATCTCTTCTCCTGGCGTCCGTAACAAATGATGTCTTGGAGTGTGTCATGTTTACGTTCGCGTAAGTTGCACGGACCATAAGCGTCAAGTTCTTGGCCGCGTCCGTGGTCTTGAACCAATCGGACATGAGTTTCTGTAGGTTAATGGACACCCAACTTGGTTCAGTCGTATTCACTACAAACTACAAGACAAAAATATAAGTTTCATTTTTTTTCTAAACTTTATTTGATACGTCCAATAAAGTTGCCCTTTTTATTAGGTTTCCCGTATATGTTATACAAAAAAAAAAAAAAAAAAAATACTTTAGGGGTGATTTTATATCAAATTTTTCTTTAGTTTCGAGATTGAAAATGAGCGTGTAGCATAATAAAAATGTATCGTGTCTTACTACAAATGATATTTACGATCAAATATTTTTATTTCAAATTGTTTAATCGGATATTTTTTAAAAACTCGTTAAACGTTATAAATATGTTTGAAAACATAATTTGTAAGCTTGTACAATCGTTTGACTTGTGAAAAACTATATCACTTATAACCTAATTTATACAATTAATATGGATGTAAAAAACATATTTTTATAAATTTGCTTTAAAATATAAAATTATATATATATAAATAATTAAAAGCCCTGTTATTATATTTATTCTATCATTTTTTATTATCTTCTATTATTACTACAAGGCTACACACTTCAAATTTATACGTGGTGTTCAAAAAGTAAGGAAACAGTTTAATTGTTACTCATAATAAGAACAATAGTAACCCGTTTTCTTTACTTACTGAACACTCTACATACTTCTGATTGTTTTTGATCTTTTTTTTTTTTTTGACGCGTTCAAATTTCTCGCATCTAATCTATTATAATCACAACATCGTTTTGATTGAAAATTCTAATATTTTTTTACCTTTACGTTAGTCACATACAACAGCTGGTTCATCATGACCGGATGAATCCTGCTCACTTCAATGTTGATCACCTGTTCAGTTTGGTGCAACTCAGCGGTTGAGCGTTTTTTGTACACCCACAGGATCGCCTTGGTTATTCTGTGCTGACATATTTTCTCAGAAAATGTGAAATACAGCAAATGATGGTTCCGCAGTTTCGGCGTCGTGGGATCTATCGGCAACCGAAGAAAAAAAAAACCAACCCCCGACAAAGCCGGTGGTGGTAGTAATTGATTATTATTATACAAGCGTAATGAGTGTAATACATAAAACATATTAGGTAAGAGCGAGTGTGCGTGTGTATTTTTAGTCGTTACTATTAACAACGAAACACACCGTCATTAAAATCTCATTAAATCCATTAAATGAACATCATCGAATCCTACCCCGGGGGCCGATTCCCACGAAATATCATCCCCCGCGTGCATTTGTTGAGCTTCAACATTTGAGTTTTATTAAAATCGTCGGGTTCACGTCACACGGCCATCGGGCAAAACGTACGAGCGTTTCACTGTATTCAAATATGACGCGCAAGTGGTGTTTGCTTCCGAATCGCACTTTGAAAACTATTCCATTACGATTTCAAAAACAAAACACGATCTCGGCAGAAACCGCAATGGCGAATTTGATGAAAAAAATTGTTTGTATGCGATAACACAGGGGAAACAGGTTAAACTCGTTGAGAAATATCGATATAATAATTGACAGTACGCAGAACAAATACACTATAATTCAGTACTCGGTATTGATGCGGTACGTCTAACAATTTGACGAACAATTTCCACCCCATTCCGTAGGCACCGGCCAGTGCAGTGATGTATTTTCGAATGCGTAATAAAAATGAGTAACGACTGTAAAACACGTCCAACAAACATTATCGCACACATTTATCACCGTGTTCACATTTACCACATCTCGTACGGATGACGTCTGACACAATAAACGTACCAACGTTATTAATTATTGCGGCCGTCGTTATGAATATATTGAATCGACTAAGTACCTGTCGTCCGTTCATTTCATTATCAAGAACACAGTACTACATCAATGTCTGGCTTAAATTTTTTTTTTACCATAAAAACGCTCATAGAGCCAGTAAATCGTGCTGAACGTTTATTCACAACAGTTTTTAAAGTTGAATGAAAAAATGGTTCATAAATTGTAGAAATACCAGCTCGCCGATTCATTGAACACAAACAAAACTTGAAATACAAACGAACATTTTTTTTTTTTATGTCGGCGGAGTAAAGGAATTTGCTGAAATGCGTATTTCGTAATCACTCGGGTACTCTTACTAGTTTTTCAAAAATCGAACACTGGTTATGTGAACGCAAACCACCTCGAGCCTTTCAATTGCGCTTGTACGAAAAATTATTACAAAAGGTCCTCGGGCCTAATAGCATGTTAAATGTACCATTAATATTAATAAATTAAAAGTAAAATTATTGACCCGAGTAATGAATTTTTATTACCTTTGAAAACGGTAAAAAATAAAATAACATGCAATTACCAATCGTTCTAAAACGGCTTATTTTATTAAATTAACAAACAGCGTGCGAAAATTAAAAATTTTTTTATTTAATATGCGGTGTTTTTTTTTTAACGTCTTAGCGAATTTGATTCGACTGATAAATAAATGGATTTCCAATTCTAATGAGTGACAAAAAAGGCCGCTTAATGTTACGCATAATTATTATATACATGAAAAAAAAAACAGTGCATGCCAAATGGGCTGTCAATGAGCTTCTTATGCGTGTCGATTACTCACACGAGTACACGCGACGCAAACGTTACACATGGTTACGTTCAAAAACAGGTTCAAATTTGTACGTGAAAAACTGACCTAGCCATTGTGTGACGCTCGAGGTAGGGTGATGCATCACTCTGGCAGACGGACCGAAGCTCTACATGAGCCTACACAGCCCACGTGGTAGTATTGGGGTGAAAAGCCTTCCCCTCGCACGGATACGTTGACCTGGGCCCGGTGCGCGCGTATGAGTGCGCGCCGCCGGCGGGAGCGAGGGGTCGACCGGAGGGGTGCCTGCACTTACGTGTAACACTCATAAAATTTGCAAAACGCCGCCATCGGGTGCATTAAACTCTATAGATCAATATTCACATCTCCTTCCACGTGTCGCGTAAGTGTGTTATTTCAGCCATTGTTATGTAATGGTATTAACTGTTGGGTTGTAAAATTCGTCAAGTGCACGTGTAGATATACACGAGTCCAGGTAAGCGGCGTTCGGGTGTACGTTACCAGCGAGCGGCCCGTTGCAGACCGTGACGGCGTAATGTTGTAGAGCTTCGTTCAACGGCCGCGCGAAATACGATAGTCTCGTTACAGTTTTTAATTAGACAGACGGCTATTATTTTACATTAAATTATTGCGTTCCTTCCTCTCCCTTAACCTATTTAACCGAGTGCGTTGTTCGACGGGTTATTCTCGTTTTCGCGTCCGAAGGCTGTTGTACGCTTCTCAATTAGTCACGTACATATTACAAAGGTGTCTGCCCAGCCGGTCAAACGGTCGAGTAAATAATTACCCCACCCCGCCGCCATCGCTGTTGTTTTCCATGCGAAAACATAATAATCGTTTTTATCGAGTGTATTGACACTTCGGTTTCGCAAAAATTCACGTATCGTATGTACTTCCAAATCATAATCAAAAAAACCAATCGCCTACACTACCGACAAAATCAATGCCATAACTGTGCGCGGGATCAAAGATCTCAATAACAGAAAACCTATTTCGAATGGCACTTTACTGTTTTCGATTTAAATTTTAAGCAATACGTGTATTATCACCGGCCTCGAGTCAACACCAAGTGGTCACTAAAAACGATTAGGTACAATTCTTATTGTTTAACACAAACAATAAACAATGAAATCTACACGAGTCAACAACGGTTAAACAAATTTGGATAAAAAGAATAATAATAAATACTGTTGTACTCTGCTGTTATTAATAAGCACTTAATACAATTATTTGCACTCGATAAGTTATTACGAACAAATGACTATTATATACTTATCGATAAATAACGAACAAACACCCAACAAATGTTCTGCCAACAAATTTATGTGCATACATCGGTTATGGAAACATTCGGACATTTTATTACGTCAATGACCAAAGAGAAACGCTACTAGAAAAAACCTGTATGAAAAAAACTAGCCCAGTCAATCCTTTAAAAATTGAATAATTCAACAGAAATATGAATCTAATACTTTTTAAACGGTGACATTTCAATAATCTATTATGCGTATGAACTTGATACAATCTCAGAGGAGATAAAAATTCAATATTATTTTTTAATATTTTCAATGGTCCGAATAATTTTTTTAGCGAATTTACCGGAAACCGAAAGTTTAATCATGTATGATTATATTACACTCTATATGAACTTGTTCGGCGAAATCGCCCACTAAAAATGTTTCAAGAGATATTTGTTGCATCGTTTGAACACAGACTATTACGGAAGTAACCTACTTATTACAAAAAGCCGATAATATCAGATGAAATATAATTAACACTCAAATAAAATAGTGTCATCATTTAATTACTAATTAATGACATTACAAGTGAGTGCTAAATAAGTGTTGTGGCTTACTTTAAGTGTAAATAAACATAAAAATAATACGAAAAAACCTACTATCAATTGATGTCAGCAAATTATTGATTATACAACAAGATATCACACAAGGTCAAGGCGAAATTTGAAGAGTCAGCGTTTTTTTTAAGTATCGTTGTAGTTAAGCCGTTAATTCAAATATAAATACAGTAAATTAATGACGTTTACTTACGTGGTTGCGCGAATGCGATGAGTTTGTGCGTCTTCATGTGGTAGTCGTCGTCATCACTGCTGTCCACGTACGGGGTCCCCGGCGACTTGGTCGTCGCGTATCTGGACGCCTCGTCGCTTTGCATGTCCGAGCTATCGCCAGACGCTTCGGAATGGTGCGATTTGTGTCGAATGTGCGGCCGCACCACCACGGAACCGCTGAGGTCGTTGTAAGTGTGAATGAGATCTTTGAGCGGCGGCAAGTCGGCTGGCACCTTTGGCGGCCGTCGTCCACCGAACTCTGGAGGACGCTTCATGCCCAACTTACTGAGTATCGAGTCTTTGATGAGCTCTATACTGAGCGACTTGAGTTGATCGTGAGCCAAACAACTTGAACACTGGACAGCGGACGGCGTTTCGGGCTGCTCGTCACTATAAGCTTGCTGACGGTCGGCCACGCCACGTGGCCGTCCGCCGGCCGCCAGCACCGTATTAGCGGTTACCAGCAACAGCGTGGCGACCGCCAAATTCCGCATCTTCCAACGCATCAAAATCTTCTCTGTTTTCGTTTTGTCCACGGTTTATCTCCGAACTTTAATCGAATACCCTGAAAAGTACGAGTATAGCTTTATACGCATAAATATATTCATTCGCCGGCATCAATCGCAACGCCGGGAATCCGTTCGCGCATACATATCAGTAAAGAAATTTTCTATGCGGTCTAGTAGTATTTTGAGCCTAACGTAACATGGGATTTAGAAAAAAATTGTGCACGTCCTATAGCCGACAAGCAAATACAAGCCGTGTCAGAGGTCTAGCGCTCATGATGGCCTCAGAAACAGCGGCGGCGGCGGCGGCGTCGTCGTCGTCGTCATAAGGTGTACACATACATTAAGTCGGGGACGTTCACGCGGCAGCCGGCAGACCGTTACTGGTGTTTTCCCGTCCGTTCGCTATCATGTCCAGCTTAGTGCGGCCGTCGTCTATAAACGTATACGCACAAACGGCTATATAATACAATATTATTAATTATGATACGGTCATGTAAAAAATGTCATTATTCCTTTTCAGTGGATTTCCCCCAATAATACCTGAACAATGAAATAAAAATAAAAAATTCAAAATGCATCGCGAAAAATTGCACACCGTTATTGTCTCCTATTTTAAACGCCTTCTTCGCCCTTCTCCTCTTACTTTTGGCATTCTGTCGCCAAGCGGCACACGTGTGCATCCGTTTCGACTTCGTAACTTCATCACCCCCACCACTGTATGTCCACTTTATTGTAATGAACACTTACAACATAAACTCACAGTGTATACTATGCGTGTAAATGTTCGTCCATTGTCTGTGCCTCAGGGTCAATTTGTTAAATAACTTATGATCTCAGAAGATGCTCTCGACTTAAAATCTATACGGAGTGAAACTACACAGTTATTATTTATTTCAATTTTCATGCACTTAGACCAATTCGAATTGTGATTTTGTTTCTATCGGGGTGAACATAATACTCGTCATGGGTAAATCATAATTTAACATTAACGCGCCTAATAGTTCTTAATATGACAAACGAAAAAAATAATAGACGCTCCAAATGCTAAGAGTTGAAATGATGTTCTTATAAAAATTGAATTAGGTTACGGTCGGACTGAAAATTAGTAATTCTACAAGCCAACAAAAATTTGGTGAATAATAACTATAAAAGAGTATAAGAATATTGTAGTGTTTATGACATTTTATGTGGAGTTATGTGGAAAACTTTAAATAGATTTCTCCAAAAAACTGGACAAGGGGTACAGCCTTTCACTTTCAAATATTGGTTGATATTTATAAATTATATGTTTTTAAGAAAATCTGCACAATTTTAATATGAATTAATAAGATAAAATTTAATTTAAATACATTCATAATAGGATTATTATGGAAATTTAATAAAAAGCAATTGCTGAAATTATATCATCAGTAGGACTTGTTATATTGTCGTTCAATGTCATTACATTGGTACCCTTTGTACTGTAACGTGTTTTATCAACCTTGATAATTCTCCCATAGTTACATATCATTGACCCTTTTAATTATACTTTATAGATACTCAATTTCAGTAATGTACTTACAAATTAACTGCAAACGAAATAGACCAAAAATTTATAATGAATTATAAACAATTAGATTTCAACGAAATACTAAGATACAATTATTAGTCCTGCTAATAATTAATCGCGTTTAAAAATTTGTAAACAATTAAATGTAATTATTACAAGATTAGAGTAGTGTCGGAACTAAAAATAACCAAGCTCATATTTAGCAAACAATGCAGCAGATTGTATAAAATACAACGAATACAATATAAGTAACTTGTCCTAATTTTATAATCATTTGATATTTTTAATAAAACCGAGTTCAGACCATATGAATACCCACACGAAACTCAGCGATCAATACCAAACAGTAAATATATCCTAATCATGTAAAGACTTGGTATTATTATTTCTATTCTATGAAATAACATTGATATTTGTTATAAGGGTAGCTATTTTATTTTATATCGTAATAAAGGAAAAATGTCTGCTCAACTTTGCGCCGACTGAAATATTACATCAGATAATTTTTATACTCATTGGTGAAAATTTATAAAAATAAATTCGCAATGAGCCATTATGGGGATATATAAATAATTCTAGACAAATTAATGTATTCCTGTAGAGGAAGAGTAAAATTTGTTTTTGATTTACCAGTATTGAACGAAAGAATGAAATAATACTTGATAAAAAACTAAACCTCAATAGAATGAATCAAATTTAAAGATCATACTTGTTACTGTAAACAAGTTAACTAAGACTTAGCAAGAGAACATTACTTAATAAATATATGATGATAGGTTTTGAAAAAACAAAACTTCTTAAAAAAAATTGTTGTCGCTCGTTATTTTTTATTCAAATAATTTGATATTTATCTACAAGTGTAATGAATAATTAATTTCTGTTCATTCAAAGAAATTCTTGAGTAAAAATATTTAAAAGTGCTATTTTTTCTGTTGAAAATAACTAAAAATAGATTAAATCCACATCACAATTGGAAACGTTAAAAGTGCTCCATTTTTTAATTTCTTTGTTTGGAAAGTACAAATACCCTAACGAAAATGATATTTCTTAGTAGTGAAGCATTTTATAATTCACACAAGAAAAATATTACATATATAAATTTTCCAACATTGTCAACAAACTAAAAATATCTAAATTATTTCATAAAAAATTTACTTTCACTGGTTCAAGTAGTTATTTTAGTATGTATAATGTAAACCCAATATATATATATTTTTTTCAAGAAATTTATAAGTCAAATTTTTACAATTTTTTTTTGGCTCTATACCAATTTTATTTTTAATGCGTCCCTAAAAACTAAATCACATAATAAATCTTAGACGAACTAAAATTAAAAATATAATACTGAACTAAAATTTATATCTATTTTTTTTTCTCTTTAAAATGATAAATTAATATATTTAAATGTATCTATATTAATCTCGAGTTATCTAAAAATTTTCAATTTAGTGAAGGCAAAATTTTTTTTTAGACAATTACCCTATGATTCATAAATACTTTAATCAAATTACAAGTGATCAATAACACCGCTGGTAATTGATATTTTTCATATTAAATCATAATTTTATATAACTCCACACTGATATAAGTTAATAAATAAATTTGTCTATGGATTTCGGTAGTAAAACTAAATACTGAACAATTATTGATATTAATTAAAATTATATTCAAATGAAGAAATAAACAGATGAATTTATGAAAAACTTAACAATATGTTTTAAACAAAACTTACAAAAAGCCTCACGCATAATTTGTAACTTAAAAAAAACATTTTATTTAAAAATATAAGGCATTTTATGTTCCATTTTCCTTTTATTCTTTTTTATCCCTTGATCATCTTTAATTAAATTTTCTAGCAGACTAGTTTTCAATAAAAACCTCATTTAAAAGTTAAGTTTCTTATAGACGCATAAATACCTGTACGTACCATTTCCCTACTTAATAAGCACTTTTGATTATAAGACACTGGCTGTATAATAATTAAATTGCCGTAGTTTTGTCCACATTAATATTACACACAAAACGTATCTATACAAGCACACGGATTTAATTGCACTACATGCAAACGTACACGTCATAGTTCATTTTGTAAAAACGCAATGCACTTCATACCGTTTTGCCAAAACATGCACGTTTCGTGCGTGCGATATAAATATAAAGTTACTAAGTAGGGGCATTTAGGGGTGGGAGATAGGTCAAAAATTGTTTTTGCATATCTTGTTCATGGCATATTCATTCTGAAAATATTCTAGGATTTAATGGCCATAAGATTTTATCAATGCAAAGGTAGTAATCACTTACAATAATTGGTCTATGGGGAAACTGTCGTTGAAATGTCACAAGTATGAAACTAGAAAGTATCTGCCTTCTTTGAATTGTTTCGCGAAAATTCTAGTAAACATTTAATACACATAATTAAACTTCAATATTATAAAAAATTATCATTGGATAATAGAGTTTTCATGTTTTTTTTTCCATATAAATAATATATAATTAAACATATTACCGAATAGATTAGATGTCAATAAACTGATGACGAGCAAAAATCAAACTGATAAAATTCCAACATATTTTATGAACATGGATAATAGTGTCTACGTTTGAAAACATCCAGTGCAAAGGTAAAATAGTAAAAAATATGGAATGAGTTATGTTTTTCTATCATTATTATGGTTCCAATATGAGATTTAAAGAAGGTACCTCTTATTATAGTTATAATAGTTTAATAATTAATTTCTAATGATAAAATATAAATTTTAGTTAATACATACTATGTATTGTTAACTACATAAATTAATTATCATGAATTTTTTATTATCTAATGTACTAATATCATTTTATCCTATCAGTAATTTCGTAATAAATAACAATGTCTATATAATTAACATTTAATATATACATTGCTAAATTAATAATCATTTTAATTAATTAAAGGCAATCATAAAATTTCATGATAAATTAAATTTATATGAAATATTCACGGTGATTGCAAACAATCATGTTTTCCAACGACATAGATGTCGTTTACAAAATTGTATAGATTTTCTCAGTGGCCTAACCTTTAATTTTGGCTTATTATAAATTTTTACTAACACAAAAGTCATATACTGTTAACAACATTGCAACAATTAGCAATGAGGGGTTTATATTAACCCCCTCTTGACATTGTCACTAGATTTTCTACACTTTTAAAATTAATTCATGACAAGATCCTACGGGCACGGGAGTGTATATATATAAATATATTTTACACTAATACAAATACTTGACAATGAAATAATTCATTTTCATCCAAAGCAATTCCGATTAAACTCTCATGGCATTATTACAAACTCTAAAAACATATTTTAGTTATTATTTAAATAAATAGAATATCTCATTTTTTTATTAATACCTATAATTCAGAACTTTTGTAAAATTATTTCATAATTTCTAAAAATAAAAAAAAATTCAACCTCGAGTAGACAAAATATGTAACTTTAACAAGAAAATATTTCCATTTACATAAAAGTATCAATAAAAAAACAGAGACAAATCTGAAAGTGCCTAAAAAATTGAATTAAATATTATCAATTCAGATAACTCAAATGTTCAAATAAACTTATCGACAAATGTCTAAGGTAACCTAATACCATTTTATTATTTAGTTAAATAGTGTATAAATAAAATATAAAAAAAAAATAAGTGACCTACTATATAATATTTTATATCAGTCAATTACTTGTTATTTTTTTCTTACTTTTAAGCACCAGGTCTCTTGTGCAAAACATTTTTAATTACCAAAAACCTGATAAATTATTCAGTTAAAAGTAATTATCCCAAATTTTAATAGACTAAAATCAATTTAAATTTAAGCAAAAAATTTAACTCATTAGCGTTTTGACATGTGATACCCTTAAAACATGTTTAAATTATTACTTATATAAATGTGGGTTAGGGTGTTCTTTTACTCAATATTGCTTATTAGAATGTATTCCTCCCTCAAAAAAAATATTACTTTAAATAACGCGAAATATTTTTAAAATCAGAAACTCGAGACAACCTACATCTGTTTTAATTTCAACCACATGTGATAACTCCTGAAAAGAACCCCTAATGTTCTAATGTATAGTTCTTAAGTGTAAACTATCACTATGTATAAAAAATTTGGACTAAATGAAAGATTTTTAATGTTATAGAAATAATAAACATAAAACAAAGTTTTCACTCGAGTGTTCAGACTAACCGCACTCATACATACAATTAAAAATTAATAAAATTTAAGTAACACATTACTTTTTCTGGGATTTAACTGTTCAGTTTTAAACCTACTAAGTAATGCATTTACCTCTATTTCATTACAAATAAGTTAGTTTTTTTTTTCAATTAACTAAATCATTAATATATATTTATTAACTTAATTCAACTTAAAGTTCTACTTCAATATTAATTTAACAGGTCGATACGATACTGTCTTGTGCTGAATTAGAATAAATATGTTAAATTCAATTCTAAATGAACAATTTAAATTTGTAGGTTTATGGGTGTAAATTGAATAATTGTTACAAAACGAATATTTTTTTATTTTTATTTTTATAAGAAATTTACAATCTGTTCTTAATTAGAACAATAAGCAAATGTGCACAGAGTAATTCAATATAAATTATTTGAGAGAAGAAGCCACCCATTAGTGACACTAACAAAACCAATATTAAAATCGTAAATAATAAATTATTATGCTGCTCATAATTTTAAGTTATAAATACACTAAAAAATAATATTGGGTAAAATCAACAAATGCATCATCGAATTACGTTTAATAAAGTATTTGTCAAATGAATCATAGTTATCTGTTTATATATCTTTGTTTATATTTGAAAAATAAAAAATGTATAGAATTTACAAATCATTTTTTAATCAACAAAAAATATGGTCAACTAATAACAAAAATATTATTGGACGTATATTGATAAAAGATTTTTTGATTTAACCCAAGAGCTAATTCAATGTAGTTACACTGCAAATAATATGCAAGACGTCAAAAAAAATTTTTTTTTTGTGCATTGATAATACAAATCATATCAATTTTCAAATTGATCCCATGTCTTATAAACATTGCCATTTAATTATTTTAAAATTAAAACGAAATGTCTATCTTCAATCATTAATAATTGAGTCGTTGAAGCAAGTATGGACAGTCTGGGTTATATATTAAAATTTTAAATAATCGTTTTACCCCCTTCCTTACAATGTAACATAATATATAATATAATAATAATGCGTTTTTTACACGCGCTTAACAGTTTAGCTAGTCGTTGACCTCGACCACGCGAAATTAATTCTACAGCTCTTTAACACCACCTATTCTCATGTCATATGCCATTGAACAGGTCAAACACTATACAGCCGGCTCCCCCGTACTATTCATTATTTTAAATAAACAAAATATAAACTAAAAACTCAACTTTAAATAATGGGGATGTCAGGTATATAAATGCCTTCAACAATAAATTAATCAATGTTGCGACTTCAATCATTTTTGTTCATAAATTTATAAAAATTAATTTTAAGAAATTCAATCTTAAAGAAATGTTGTATTTTTTATTTTCTGAGACTAGTTTGTTTTCACCTATGATTATAGTTAATGAAAAGTTATTTTTAACGTTAAAATCAACTAAAATTATAATTATTACAAAATAATTCTGTTCAACGGTAAAATTTTTCATTATTTTAATTGTAAGTAATAAATTATAAATTTTATTTATAAAAAAATTGCTTTTTATTAGCTTTGTTCTGTTTATTTATAAGTGACGTGGAAAAGCAAACAAATATACACTACCTTTCCTTCTATTACTTTTTTATGTATGCTTGTAGTTTCGCAAAGTTAAAATAAATAATTGATTTAACGTTCTAATAAATATAAATTATTAGAAAATACAAGTTTGTTATGCTAGCCAAAAAAATCTCATCCGCTTTGATTATTTACTTAATGAATATAAATTCAATTATTATTGTTATTTAATTATCATTAGTATTTAATAAAGAACTTTTCACACTTAAAAAAAATTTGGACAATACACAATTTACGACGGTTAAGATGCTGCTATAGAATTCTTTAGTGTCTACGGTAGCAATTAATAGAAGATAACGGTTATACTGGTGAATGATGGAACAACAATATATATATATATATCGTTTTTAAAAACCATTATATTTTACCCTAAAGAATTTTTTACGTGGCACACGACAATTGGCATTTCAACAGAATTTTTTACACACCCTTCACCAGTAGCATTTTCGAATCTTTTCTTCTGCTTCTTTTTTTAAATCATCTTTCACCTGGTTTTTTTCATCTAGTAGTTCATCAAAATATCATCAGTACAATGAAAAAACTTGAACGGTATTATTATCGTTACTATATTACATTGTGTTACATGCTTATACCTATATTTGTCAGGATTTATTTTTCTTTTCTCACTCTTTCTCTCCCACTACCTCTCTCTTTTTCAACATGTATTATCTAAAAAAAAAAACATCTGGTTCACGTCATTGTTGAAGATTTTTGCGCTACCTGCTGAACGTGTACGGTAGCTAAACGGATCCTACCGGTGAACGTGCCCCTCGCAGATAACGTCGCTGGTGGCCCCCTGGGGAAAAGTAATGCTTCATGAATAGGGGGACGACTGCTTAACTTCAAATTATGACTCTAGCCTAGATCAACCGTTTTTTTTGTTCTTATCACACTCGACTTTAATCGTGAGCCAAATTTATTTTTTGATGATAAAGATATAAAATGTGGTTGTTATAACAACACTTTTCTGATAAATGATTTCAATTCAAATTTTCACTCTTTTGGAAAACCTGATGATATTTTATACTTAATTTAATCACCAAATATTTTTAACTTTTAATTTTTTAAAGAAGTGACAACAAAATATTAAATGATTGCAGTTCTTAAAAACATTTATAAAAATTAATTTTTAAATTTCTATCTTAAAATATAAAAATATTAAGAAAAATATCGTAATAGAGGAAAAAAAACTATAGAAGTTTCTTTCTAAATTACATATAAATTTATATTGTAAAATTTTTTATTTTGTAAATTAATTAATACTGTTAATGATATTTATTATAATTGTTAAT